CCCCCCCCCCTTCCTTTAATCGTAAATATCTCGACTTCTATTCAAGAAAAATAGTTTGGCAGTCTTTTCATCAAGTGAAAGGTAAATGAACAGGCTTTAGAAGCATATAAGCCTACCAATAACTCCATATTTCGCCAACCTTGAATTTTAAAGTTCTATCCCCTCAGTGCCTACGTATGAGAAATTCGATGCAAAAAATTTGATGTTTCACAAGGTCAAACTTTTTCGAATGCAATTCTTTGAATATTTTGATAACGACTCAGAATAATCTTGCGCTTTTGATAGAGCAGATAGAACAATAATCATTGGTTTTTGACCTCATGGTCTAAGTAACCCAAAACGGCCAAAAATATAACTTTGTAATAATTAGGTAGTACTTTGCCAATAACTACATAATTAAATAACTAACTAAATAAACAAATAAGTGAATAAATCAATAAATCAATAAATAAATAAATAAATAAATAAATAAATAAATAAATAAATAAATAAATAAATAAATAAATAAATAAATAAATAAAAATAAACGACTGAATCAATAAAGAATAGATAGACAGATAGATAGATAGATAGATAGATAGATAGATAGATAGATAGATAGATAGATAGATAGATAGATAGATAGATAGATAGATAGATAGATAGATAGATAGATAGATAGATAGATAGATAGATAGATAAATAGGTAGGTAGATAGATAGATAGATAGATAGATAATAGATAGATAAATAGATATATAGATAGACAGATAGATAGATCAATAGATGGATAGATAGATAGATAGATAGATAGATAGATAGATAGATAGAGAGAGAGAGAGAGAGAGAGAGAGAGAGAGAGAGAGAAAGAGAGAAAGCAAGAAAGAAAGAAAGAAAGAAAGAAAGAAAGAAAGATTAAATAACCTAATAAAAAAGAATTGGCAAGCGCCTGATTCCACCGTGTCGTGACACGTGTGATAAACCCCCAGTCCCTATACGCTCTCTTGTAGTATCGACTTATAGCGGGTCTCGCCCCGTCCCCCATGCAATGTCGCCGGTTCCAGACTCGTTTGTCTGTGAGTCAGTGAGGAGGACAAAGGTTGCACTGTGGTGTGACCAGCCAGTGAGTGCAGATTGAACAATAGTCATCGATTTTTTATCTCAGGGTCTAAGTAACCCAAAACGGCCAAAAATGTCAGAACTTTATAATAATAAGGTAGCACTTTGCCAATAAAAAAAACAAAGGAAGAAAGAAAGAAAAAAAGAAAGAGAGAAAGCAAGAAAGAAAGAGAGAAAGAAAGAAAGAAGCAAGAAGGAAGGGAGGAAAGAAAGAAAGAAAGAAAGAATGAAAGAATAAAAAAAAGAACGAAAGAATGAAAGAAAGAAAAAAAGAAAGATTGAATAACAAAATAATAAAAAAATCGGCGAGGGCCTGATTCCACCTGATTATACGCTCTCTTCTACTATCGACTCTGAGCGTCTCGCCCCGTCCTCCCATGCGCTGTCGCCGGTTCCAGACTCGTTTGTCTGTGAGTCAGTGAGGAGGTCAAAGGTTGCACTGTGGTGTGACCAGCCAGTGAGTGCAGATTGAACAATAGTCATCGATTTTTGACCTCATGGTCTAAGTAGCCAAAAATGGCCAAAAATGTCAGATAGGACTTTGTAACAATAAGGTAGCATTTTCCCAAGAAAGAAAGAAACAAAGAAACAAAGAAACAAAGAAAGAAAAAAGAAAGCAAAAAGAGAAAGAAGGAAGGAAGGAAGGAAAGATAAAAGAAAGAAAGAAAGAAAGAAAGAAAGAAAGAAAGAAAGCAAGGAAGAAGGAAAGAAAGAGAAAAAGAAAGAAAAAAAGAAAGAGAGAAAAAAAAAGAGAATGAAGAAAAGAAAGAAAGAAAGGAAAAAAGAAAGAGAGAGAAAAAGAAGGAAAGAAAGAAAGAAAGAAAGAAAGAAAGAATGAAAGAATGAAAGAATGAAAAAAGAACGAAAGAAAGAAAGAAAAAAAGAAAGATTAAATAACAAACTAAATAAAAAATCGGCGAGGGCCTGTTTCCACCTGATTATACGCTCTCTTCTACTATCGACTCTGTGCGTTCGCCCCGTC